TTTGTGCTGGACGACTAGGCCTGGTCCAGCAGGGGGTGATGAGGTGAGGTATTGGTTTGGAGGCCTAAAACAGATCCAGAGATTGGTGGTGATGTCAGGGTGACTCAAATTCAGCCTGGTTTTACTTTTTTTTCCTTTTTAATGAGCAACAACAATCATTTAGAGACAACAGGATTATATGATATACACCTAGACATTTACATCTTCTCTTTTGGACTGTTTTTTAAAAAAAATTTTTTTTATTGCTTTTAGAGAAGAAAGGAGAGTGTGAGAGAGAAACATTGATTTCTTGTTCTACTTATTTATGCATTAATTGGTTGATTCTTGTATGTGCCCTGGCCGGGGATCAAATCCACAACCTTGGCATATCAGGATGACTCTCTAACCAGCTGAGCCACCCGGCTCAGGCTCTTTTGGACTGTTTTTGTTGAAGAGTAAATCTGTGTTTGTAAACACCCACCTTACCTTTTAAATGTGCTGTTGGAGAAGTTATCTAGGTGGCTAGTTTTTTGTTTGTTTGTTTGTTTGTTTGTTTGTTTGTTTAGGAGAAGCAATCAGAGCTTAAAAGAACCAGAATGCCACCGACTGTGGATTTGTGACATCCCAACCCTCTCCCCTCAATAACTGTGAAGCAGATTTTAAAACTGAACGATAAAGTATTACAAGTTGGAGTTGAGTTAGTGCTAAATAGAATCTCTATGCTCTGTCAAAATATTGGTCTGGGATTTGGTAGAACTAGTAACTATTTAAAAATTTTTGAAACTCTGAATGGTTTTCAGGGTACTTTCCTTTTGGTGCCTTTTCCCACAGGACTGTTAATATTCATAACTTTCTTTCAGTCCCATATTCAAAGGATAATCAAGCCTGGTTATTTCTTCCTTTAACATCTCTTATATTTATTTCTTCCTATAGTCATTGGGAGTCTTTCATCTAAAACAATAGGACCTCGAACTCGATGAACAGTAGGATAAATGACTCCGGGATGTCTCAAAGAACTCACAGACAGGGAGTGGCTGGGGTTCAAATACGAACGCTTCTCCTACCTCCCCTTCTTCTGTCTCTGTCCCCATGTGTGTCCCCTTCATTTTTCTCTCTCACTGCACACCAGCTGTCTGCTTCTGTAGTCCACGTGCTTAGAAACATGGCCTCAGCCTTACTCAGATTCTAGCATCAGTTGTTAAAGAAAGGCTGGTTTGACTTCTTGGTCCGTAATCCAAAAATTCCATCAGATGCTTGGGACCAGTTAACTGTGGTCAGGGGATTATGGAACTGTGAGTGGTCCAACTTGAGCCCCTATGTGCATCTTCCCTGCCTTCTCCCTTGAGCATAGGCTTTTATATGCCTTATTAAAACATGGCAGCAAGCCATGGGAACCAGATGGCTGGAGTGGAGGTTAGTACAGTTCTCCAAAGAAAAGGTGCTATTTCTAGAATAAATGGGGTCTGGGATTCTAGGCAAAAAAAAAGAGTGACTGTTCACTACATCTCTTCTCTATCCCCATTGAAGTTGGGTATTGGAAACTTTTACCTTCATTGTGATTATTTGCTAATTGGCTTTTTTTTCTCTTATCTTATACCTGTTGAGTCCATCTTCCACATTGCTGCCACAGTGGTCATTCCAAAGTAAGAATATGATCTTGTCATTTGCCAACAAACAATCCCAGGCTTCTTAATAAGGCACATAAAGTCTCACACAGTCTAGCCTCTGCCTACTCCCTGGGTGTTCCCTTTCTTCCCTGTTCACTGCTCTTTGCACACTGCTCAGCTCCTCCTCATCTCAGTTGCTTGCTGGCTTCTCCTTTACCTGGAAATGCCTTTCCCACTTGTTTTCTCAACAGTTATCTTTCACAATTCAGCCCAAGCTTTGCCTCTTCTAGAAACCTTTCCTGAGCCCCTTTCACCTCACCCTCACCCCTGCCCTGCAGTGTAATTATTCCTTCTTGCTCTATACTGACTTCTATATATTGTGCTCTCCTTTTTTTGATTACTTCCCTCTAATAGAGTGTGAGATCCTTATAACTGGGGGACTCTTATTTCTGTCCTAACTAGCACATAATAGCTACTCAGTAAATGGCTTTTAAATGAATGCAAAGATGAATTAGTTGTTTGAAGAGACATTCTCCATGAGCCCTTAGAAATTCAAACTGCAATCAAGAATACTACTCTCCACACAGTCGTTTCCTAAACAGACTGAATTCCCTGAGATCAGGAGTAATGCCTGTTGCTGATAGATGTGCAGCAGAGGCTGTTGGCTTGGTTTGAGTCTTTAAAATGCTTTGACATCTTCCCAGTCAGGCAATATCAACTGCAATTCAAGATATTGTTTGTGTACACATATAGGCATATGTAACGGAAACAATTCATTGCATTGTAAAAAGTCAGCAGTTTGACAGCTTTTTAGTTGGGGAGGTAGTGTCTGTCATAGAACTCACCAGTAGTGAGGGGGATCATTCTGGCAGCCCTTCCTGGGAGCCCCGCAGCAGAGATGACAGACACAGGCATAGTTCATGCTGCTGGCAGAGCGGCTTTCGCAAATAGCAGTGGTGAAGGTAGTTCCAGGGGTCAGAAGGCTTTCAGTGTTGGGCATTCCTTTCAGTTTCAGTCGAGCTTCTCCAAGATGAATGAAGTTTAACTCTTTTTTCTTTTTTTTAATGACTCTTCACATCTCTGATAATAGGAGAAAGAGAGAGAAAAATTTGAAGCTTGGCATTAGAGGAAAATTTTAACTTGACTTGAAATATAGTACTTTTCTTTTTGTCTGACTCAATTCTCATAACACAGTATGGTGAGATGTGAACAAATTTGGCATGTGTCTTTTATATAAATTCTACTTTCAAGTTGACAAAGTTGAAAAGTAACCACAAAACAGGACATTGGCAAACCAATATTTATAAAATTGGAGAAATGGGGATTTGTGGAGAGATCTTGGGCTTAGTTTTCAAAGTAGATAGTAGCCGGAACAAGCTGTTAATAGCAGCTGGATGTGCAGATGTGAACAGTGGATTGATTGTGCAAAGGGAGAAGGATGACAGTATAGAATGAAAGGAGAGAGACACAATCCTTTGCGTAAACAAAGCGAGTTCTCATAGAGTGCGGTTTTTCCCCCCAAAACCCTTGGATTCTGGATTTCGTAGCTAGGAGGTAGTGTGTTTTGCATTGATGCTTTTGTCACAGAACACAAAAACTGTAGCAACTCTTCTACTCATAGCAATGTGGACCTTTTTTGGCTTTTCTGTTTTCTCTATTTGATTCAGCAAATACTGAGCACCTATCGACTGTGCCTGTACCTGTAGGGATAAAGAAATGAATTAGCACAGTCCCTGACTCAGAAAACTCCCAGCTTGATGAGAATATAAAGTACTTAGGATGTGCCTGGTACCTAGCAAGTACTCCATAGGTAGTAGCTGTACTGTTAACTGGGGAGAGGAGCCCATGAGTAGAGACTGTTAATACTGATAACAGTAGCTGCCTTACACTGAGTTACTATTATGCACCAAGCAGTGAATTAGTATGCATTTTGTTTAAATTCCCACAGTCTTATTTTAATGTAAAATGTGCAGTTATTTAGGTAGAGTTATTAGAGAGATGGAGCTATCAACTAAAACAGCACAAAACGGGGTAATAAATGTGGAGAGGATGTTGAGGAAACACTGGAGAAGGTGACATTTAGGTAGTTCTTAAAGAAGGATTTGTAGCTCACTGGGCAGGAGGTGAGGAGAGGGAAGAGATTTCAGGAAGAAGGGATTCCCTGATACAGTCTACGTTTTCTTCTTTTCCCTCCTGGACTTCCCACTGTGCTTAATACACACAGAGGATTTCTTGGTGATTGGTGGAAGTTTTCAGAGCTGAAGAGATGGCTGACTCTTGACATATATATAGAAAAATATGGGAGCTTTCTTCTATCTTCTTAGAAAAAGAGTGAGAATTCCATAAACATACAAATAATGTCTGATGGGTGGCACCAGATGAAGTGAAAAGGGAGAGGTTGACAAGTACTGCTATATTACTCTGTTGCAGTGCTGCAGAGAATTCACACACACCATGTGCATTCTGAGCAGCCATCCTATGTGAAAACACAGTTTTACAAGATTATTTAATTAAAAGGTAGTTCACCAAGAAGTTGCTTTAAAAAATACCTTCTCAGAGTATTTTAGTTTGTTGGAATTATGGACAGTAAAAACATTAGGAAAACCATGGTCTTCTCCTCTAAGAACTAGTAATGTAGCAGAACAAAGAGAGCCTTTCTCTCTCTCTCTCATATATAATCTAGTTAGACTGATATGAAATTCAGGGTAATAAGCAGTGTCCTTAAGAAAGGTTTCATAAGGAGTGACATTGGAGAGGACATTGAAAGATTTTAATAAGGACAAATTGAAAGGGAATAGGCTTTGACTCACTTTGCAAAAAATCTGATGTTTATGTTCGGAAATATATCTTTGCATAAAGTTAAATTATCTAGAGAATAGATAAAATTAAATTATCACTTTCTGGAGAAGGGTTGTGAGAGATATTAAATTTATTTTGAAAAAAGTATACTTTTGGGGGGATGAGGAAACATTTGTAATACCTTAACCAATAAAGAAATTTTTAAAAAAGTGTACTTTTTTATTTTTAAAAAATAATTGTTTATGTCTTGTCTTTTCAACTAGATCATAAACAACTAGAGGACAAAAAACATGCCTAATACATATTTGAGTTTCCTAAGATACCTAAAACAGAAAAGTGGCAAATAGGCATTTGTTGATTGCTTTCTGGATTAAACGTTTTACAATTGGAGAATGTAGTAGAGAAAGCATACAAGTAGAAAGAATGAAAGGAAACATACAGAGGTAATGCCATGGAAAGTACCTTTACATTTGGTTTTATGGATCAGGAAAATGACTAGCAGATCACCTTTTGTCTTTTTCTTATAACCTCACCGAGGATACTTTTCCCACTGATTTCTAGAGAGAGTAAAAGGGAAGGGGGAGGAGAGACACATCAATTGGTTGCCTCTTGCAGGGAGCCTGCAGGGAGGTAGTGCCCTTGACCAGGAATCGAACCCACAAACCTTTGGTCCACAGGCCAATGCTCTAATCACTGAGCCGGACATTTCTTAGAACATGTTGATGCCTTCTGGTTCTTCAAGGAACGTAGAAGATTCTTTCTTCCTTTTTTTCAAAGTTGTAAATGGAATTTTGCTGAAATGCCATCAGAGATTGGACTTTTGGTTAAGGGTGGAGTTTGGCTATGCCACATCCTGCTCCCAAGTCCTGGAACTCCTTTTCCTCAGAATACGTATCACTCAACACATTTGCCTTATTAAAAACAACTGGTAGTAACTTCACTAGCTGTTCAGTGGTTCACAAAGATGCAGAGCTAACATTTTTAAGAGAGTGATGAAGGTGGAGCAGATGTGGACTGCAAGCTGCAGGGAATTAGATGCTGTTATGAATTTTACAAGTTGCAAATGAAGAGGAAGGAGTGGGATTCTGAGGAGGTGGAGTCACATTTTATTGGAAACAATGAAGACAATGGCTTTCAGATTTTAAAAACAACTAGAGAACATCTGCACTTTTGGCTTTTTCTAGTTGAAGGCTCTTGGAACGTATGGATGTCTTTACAAATAAATTTATCACAGTGTTGATTGGCATTGATGAGATATGAGATTTACACTCAGTCTCCAAAATCCATTTATTTCTTTTACTCCGTCCTGTGCATTAAGAAGTCCCCCATCTCCCGAACTCGTTAAGATACTAGTGACTCCATAATGAATAGATGAAATAAGCATTTAGGAATTCTTATGAAACAAGTTAGAAATCTTATTTAGCATATTTCTCTAACATGCTGACTTTGAAAAAATTAATTTTTTTAAGTGGTCAGTTTCCAAAAAATCTCAAGAAAATAGTGTTATCTCTTTTGAAATATCAATGGATTTTGTATTGGAAAACCAGAACTTCTGTAAAACCTAAGAAAATCATGTTCCCTTTTGTTATAGACCTTTTGTGATTAAATTTTAAGTAAATTTTGGCCATGAAAAGAAAGATAATATTTTGTGAGTAGTTTATAATACTAACAAGTTTGCAAGGAAAATGATAAGACAAGTAAATTATTTTAAATATCTTTGAAATTCTTTTAGTAATAATCATAACTAACAACAGTCAAACAAATAATTGTTTTAATTTCTGTGCAAACTATATACATGATGTGGCCATGCTTGTTCATCCACATGAAACATGGAATGATGGTAAGGAAGAGGATCCCAGTGCTCATCTTGTGACCGAATCTGTGTTTAACCATTGATGGAACCAAGTTTCCCCAGAACATGCATCTGAAAGTAATGAAACACCTAAAAATATATCTTGCAGTTTGAACCTGTTTTTATTCAGAACAGTTCTCACATCCATTCTGTATTCTTGTCTGCATTCCAACTCCTTCTTCTGGTATTATGTTTTGTTATTGAAGAGATACTACGTACAGCTGTTGCTCTGTATGAGGTACTGACCCAGGCACTATGAAGTGTGTGAGCTGAAGTCCCCCGATGGCTTCACCTTTAGAGTGGAGGTGAGCTCACACTGAACAACATGTGGCCTAGTGCCACGGGAGCTGCAGTGTGCTGTAGAAGTCCATAGAGGGGATGACCACTTATGGCATGCATTAAAACAATCATAACAATTTTTTTATTCACTTGCTTTAGGGAAATCCCTCCAATTTCTGGGATTCACCTTCCTTACTGGTAAATGTTTAGTAAAATGATAACCATGACTGGTTTGAGGGATGAGCATTCTAAAACACCTGTGATCAAAGGCTTTGAAATTTTAGACATAATTCAGTTCAGGGATAGGCTGGTATTCGACAAGCAAAGAAGAGTTGTATCTATCAGTACTGTCAGTCCCTTTTCTCCTCTGCAGTTGTAACATTTGTCTGAATATTAGGGGACAAACACTTAAAATAAAAATGTTGATCTTTCTATGAGCAAAACAGCCTTAAACTATTAGAAATGGGGTTTGGAACATAATTTTGGGATGATTATTAATTGAGAGGTAGACCCTGAAGATTTGGAGTGGATTTCATTTTATTTCAAGGAGCGTCACTGAGAATATAAATCTCTAGCTGAGAATGTAGAGTCTAGCAGAACAGCAAACTAAAAAAATAAGTTTTAGCTAGATGTCAAAATGAATAGGAGATAAATTGTTACTTCATTTATATAGCAACTACTAAGAGGAATTCATTGAGACTCTAGAAAAAAAACAGTAAAATATACAAAAATTGGAAAGTAGCCTCTATTGATCATTTAAAGTAAGGAGAATTGACTTAGGTCAAAAAGAAAGGAAAATGCCCTGGGAATGAACAGTAAGTGGTATAAGATGTCATTAAAAGGAGGTTGTGGAATCTCCTTTTCTGGAAATGTTTAAAAATAAGACAGATCTTCATCTCTCAGGAAAAGTATTGAAGCTCAGTCCTGCCAGAGGCAGGATGATTAACTGGATTATGCCTGTGTGGTCTCGGGAGTCATTGCAACAGCCTCTGAATGAAGTAAATATTCCACACTCTGTTGGCTGAGGCTGTTGTTTCATAGCTGTTCATTCTAGCCTGGTTTATTGTAAGGCCAGAGTGAATGTTTGTATAAGTAACAAAATTGAATTTGGACTTGAGATTGATGATGTAAGTTGTGTGCCTACCTGAATCTGTTTTAAAAGCACTGAAGTATATATATAGTGCTGAAATTATTCAGAGCATAACTTAATCTTTTGACGGATGGAGAAAGTGCCTGCTTTCATGTCAGGTCTCACTGTCATTAATCATCCTATCTAATAATAGACAAACATGGTAATTAACCATACCTCTGCTACGCTTCCCATTGGCTAATCAGCAGGATATGCAAATTAACTGCCAACAAAGATGGCGGCCAGCAGCCACGCAGCTGAAGCGAACATGAGGCTTGCTTGCTCCAGTGATGGAGGAAGCTAAGGTTCCCCGCCTGCCGCGGCCCAGCTCTGAGCTCCGGAAGCAACAATGTTTCAATTATAGAAGCTAAACAAACCCCAGATACCTGCTTTCATCCAGCAGTGGGCTCAGAGCTTAGAGCGACAGTGATGGCAACAGAGTTTCAGTTATAGAAGCTAAACAAACCCAGATACCTGCTTTCAGCCAGTCATGGCCTCAGAGCTGGAGCCGGCTCTCAGCTCCAGTGACAGCTATAGAAGGTAAATAAATCCCAGAATTTAAAAAAAAAGAGGCTGGGAGCTTCAGTTGCCCACCAGCCTGAAAACGGCCCTCAGCCCCTCACCCAGACTGGCCAGGCACCCCAGTGGGGACCCCCACCCTGAAGGGGGTGTGACCAGCTGCAAACAGCCATCAGCCCCTCATCCAGGCTGGCCAGGCACCCAAGCGGGACCCCCACCCTGATCCGGGACACCCTTCAGAGCAAACCAGCCGGCCCCCACCTGTGCACCAGGCCTCTATCCTATATAGTAAAAGGGTAATATGCAAACTGACCCTAACAGCAGAAAGACTGGGAATGACTGGTCACTATGACACACACTGATCACCAGGGGGCAGATGCTCAATGCAGGAGCTTCCCCCTGGTGGTCAGTGTGCTCTCACAGGGGGGAGCTCTGCTCAGCCACAAGCCAGGCTGACGGCTGCCAGTACAGCAGTGGTGGTGGAAGCCTCTCCTGCCTCAGCAGTGCTAAGGATGTCCGACTGCAGCTTAGGCCTGCTCCCTGCTGGCAAGTGGACATCCCCCAAGGGCTCCTGGGCTGCCAGAGGGATATCTGATTGCCATCTTAGGCCCAATCCCCCAGGGAGCAGGCCTAAACCAGCAAGTGGTCACCCCCGAGGGGTCCCAGACTGCGAAAGGGCACAGGCTGGGCTGAGGGACCCCCTTACCCCCGAATGCACAAATTTTTGTGCACCGGGCCTCTAGTCTATACTAATAAAAGAGAAAGATGCAAATTGACCCGCACCTCCGTGGTGCCCACAAGCCACGCCCACCAGCCAATCAGGAGTGAGTATGCAAATTAGCCCAACAAAGATGGCGGGATAATTTGCATATTCAGGCACCCAGCGGCCTAGGTCCTGGAAACATCCTAGGGACCCAGGCAGCTAAGAGCCTGCAGGCCCCAGCGTAGGCCCTGAGCAGCCTTGGTCCCAGAACACCCCTGGCCACTCCTGGCCTATAGGCCTTGGCACCGTGGGGGCAGGGCAGCAGAGGCTTGAGCAGGGCCAGAGAGGAGTGGGGGGCCCTGCCCAAGCCATAGCTGAGACTTGATCAGAGCCAGGGGCCATGCCCAAGCCGCGGCAGAGGCTTGATAGAGGCCAGGGGGGCCCTGCCCAAGCCACATTAAAGGCTTGAGCAGGCCTGGAGACAGGGGGTGTGCCAGCCTAAGCTTGCCAGCAGTCCTGCCTCTGTGGGTGAGCTCCAGGGGAAACACCTTTTCTGACAGCTCATTGGATAAGCTCCCTGTACACCACTGGTAATGTTCTTGGTAACTTGGGTAATAAGAATCCAAGAAGGTGATGTAGGGTTTTTCCACCTCACTCCTGGAGGAAAAAATGAAGGTCCGCTGCTGGAGAGCTAAGAAATGTCATATTCTGCCCTAGCCGGTTTGGCTCAGTGGATAGAGCCTCGGCCTACCATCCGCAAGGTCTGGGTTGATTCTGATCAAGGGCATGTGCCTAGGTTGCAGGCTCCTCCCTGGCCAGGGCCCAGGTCAGGGCTCATGCAGGAGGCAACCAATCAAAGTGTTCCTCTCACATTGATGTTTCTCTCTGTCTTTTCCTCTCTCTTCCACATTCTCTAAAAATCAATGGAAACATATCCTCAGGTGAGGATAAAAAAAAGAAAGAAAGAAATGTCATATCCTATAAAAGACACATCTTGAAAATGCCTAAAGAAAGTTGTCATTTTTTCATGATGAAGGGACTGGAGTTCGTGTTGATGAAAACACCTTGGCAACTGTGGTGGCTGGCAGTGGCTGCAGCAGCAGGGTGATGGGGCTGGCGCCTTCCCCTGATCAGCCCGGTCACCTCCCACAGAGGGAGGCCAGACTTCGGCTTAAGCCCACTCCCAGCGGGCCTAAGCCGTCAGTAGGACATCCCCTGAGGGCTCCCAGTCTGTGAGAGGGGGCAGGCTGGGCTGAGGGGACACCCCCCCCCCAGTGCAGGAATTTCATGCACTGGGCCCCTAGTTCAATAACTAATTATAAATAATTACTTTGAACACTGAAGTATACAAATAGGAATCAGGTCTGGTTCCTGCTTTCAAGGAACTTAGTCTACCAGTGGATTTGAAACGTATGCAGAGATAATATACACGATACCTGAAAAATAGAATAATTGGGTTAGGTGTCACAAAAAGGATTAAACAGTGTGAGAGTTCAGAGAGAGATGAGACAGCTAATTCCTTTGAATTAAACCAAGGAATGCTTCCTGAAAGAAAAATACATTGAATTGGGCTGTAAGGAGTAGGAAGCATTGTGAAGGGTGGAAATGAAGAGAATACCAACTGGGATAGGATTGTAACTCCAAGATGCTGACGAGCTCAGCTGAAGCATGAAGAAGTTGGGGCACTTGGGCTGGAAAGGCCTCATTGTGGCCAGTCTCAAATGCCAGGTCAAAGAGCTTGGGTTCTGTTTGCTCAGAGAGTAAGATCCCTTGGAAATGATTAAGCATTAAAGGGTCTCTGTCCGTGGAAGTTTTGTAATTTGCTATTTGGACTACATGGTGAAAAGGCTATAAAAGGGAGCCCAAGAGAAAGTGGCTGCTGAGACATCTGGGCCAGTTAGCTAAGGTAGGTTTATAGAGAAATACTAATTTCAAGACATGTTAATAGGTGTTACTCAAGAAAGGGTCTCCTCACCAAAATTAATTGGAGAAATAAAAAGTTAAACAGTTAAATGGATGTATTTGCTGGAGAGCTTTTCAGAGCTTTTAATATTGAGAATCTCAAATAGGGCAAAATGTACAATTTCTAACATGATTTCATCTTTTTTATGGACTATCTCAAGAAACTACTGTTCTTTGGACCACATTTTAGGGACTGTTGCCCTATGCACTTAATAATGATGGCCAGAACCTGAGTGGTGGTCATATGCATGAAAAACAGTGATTAGATGAGGGATTTAGGGCAGCGTCATCTGCCGTCCTGATAACATAGTAGGCACTCAGTAACTATACAGAAAATTAATGCATGCCAGAGTGAATTATTGATTTCTTCACCCTGGGTCCAAGATTGCATGGTGAAACAGAAGAGGGAATGGTGTCCAAGATGGCAGTGTGGAGGGTTTTGAGCTTTGGTTATGCTGGAAATAGTAGCGTCATGGAAAGAGGAATTGCTTTAAATGAAAGTTGATCACTTAATGTTTCTTGAGAAGCTCTGGGAGATCCAGCCGGAGGGTTACCCCAGATGCTGGAACTGTGGGACTGTTGGAACTATTGACTTGGAGAGAAGTCATTGTTTTTTCTCACGGAAACATTTTTTAAAATGTTGGTTAAGATGTATGCTTGTTTGAATTATGGATAAATAGCAATTTTCATATATAACTTAGTCTAAGAAGATAACCATCAGTGTAGTCTAAAAGAAACTTCAGGATTAACAGAGCATCCAACCTGAGGTGACAGTAGCAGGCATTCTCATCTTCATCAGTGAATTTTTTTTGCAGGCTGATTTATTCATAGAAGTTAATTAATGTTTAAGTTTAACATTTTGTTCTTTTATTCAGGTATTTGCCTTTGATTATTGCTTTTGGTCCATGGATGAATCTAACACCGCAAAGTATGCTGGTAAGTTGGCTCTCTTTCTGCAGTTGATGGTTGGGCCTCTGGCCTCTTTTTCCATTACACCTGTTTTCTTTAATTATTCTGGAGTTCTGTTTTCCCCATAACATTCACAGTCATTCTTTCCAGTCTAGTGCATGGGCTTGGAAGTCAGTCAATAGATTTGATTTCAGGATTTGACTCAACCACTAAAAGTGGTTTTGCTGTAAAGTCATGGACAGGTGTTGTTATTGCTTTCAGCCTGTAAAGGGAATATTAGTATCTTCAGAGGTGCTCCAAGGATTAGAGATGATGGGGGAACCATCTCAAGTCATACATGGTAGCTGTTGTGATTGTCACATAAGATGCCATGCCTTTCCCTGTTGTAAACTTTCAGCCAATGCACAGCTCCGTTTAAGCCAGCGGTTCTCAACCTGTGGGTCGCGACCCCTTTGGCGGTCGAACGACCCTTTCACAGGAGTCGCCTAAGACCATCCTGCATATCAGATATTTACATTACGATTCATAACAGTAGCAACATTGCAGTTATGAAGTAGCAACGAAAATAATTTTATGGTTGGGTCACAACATGAGGAACTGTATTTAAGGGGCCAGAAGGTTGAGAACCACTGGACTTTAATCAACGCACAAGTGCTATTGGCTTCCAGGACTCCCGTGCACCCGAGTTTTCTGAAGCATTCCGTGGTGATATGCACTAAACCCGTGGTCGGCAAACTTCGGCTCGCGAGCCAGATGCGGCTCTTTGGCCCCTTGAGTGTGGCTCTTCCTAAGCCTTAGGAGTACCCTATTTAAGTTAATAACAGTGTACCTACCTATATAGTTTAAGTTTAAAAAATTTGGCTCTCAAAGGAAATTTCAGTCGTTGTACTGTTGATATTTGGCTCTGTTGACTAATGAGTTTGCCGACCACTGCACTAAACACACCTTCCTCAGGGAAACATTGCCTCCTAGCTCCACATTTTGCTAGTGGTTTTTTCATGAGGTATGTTAGCCCTATTCGTCAGACATAAGTGACTGCTGATTTTATTATTTGAGATCATAGGTGCATCTTAGCCTTTCCTAGAAGCAAATCACAATTGCTTCAGCCTAAGAGCGAAGCATCTGATTTAGTGAAGAGAGTCCGATTCCCTCCCTCCCAATTGGGTCCGCCTTTCCTGCATATAGGGTCATAATGAGTGTTTTCTCCTAATTTCTACTTATAAGACTATCAGCTGAGTGACTTTTCCATTTACTTAAAAAAAAAGAAACAGTGAGGAAAGGATTGAGAGGATGTAGGCTTTGCAGTGGTTCTCAACCTTGGCTGCACATTAGAATCATCTGGGAATCTTTTTAAAATCCTGATTTCTGGACCTCTTCCTCCGGAAATTCTGTTTCTTTGTTACTAATGTTGTGGCCCCACCCCATAACAAAGAAACAGAATTTCCAGAGGATGAGGCCCAGAAATCAGGATTTTAAAAAGATTCCCAGGTGATTCTAATGTGCAGCCAAGGTTGAGAACCACTGCTTTAGAGAGTAAAAGGAAGTTGCTTGCTCATAAGGAATTTTATTGACAGCCTTTTCCTGGCCACCTAAAGCAGACTTTTTGAGAAATTATTTGATATGTATATATTTTTCAAAAGTTAACAATCTTGAACTAGGAAAATTCCTTCAGCTCTTCACATTGGGTAAATTGGTCTTTCTTTCCAAGCATCAGTTTTACAACTTCAGCTGTGTATTTTATTAATGTGAATGAATAGTCCTTAATGTTGGTTATAATTAATGTGTCTTTTTATTGGTCCTTTGGGACTTTAGATAATAATTCCATGGAGTCTGTATCCCTAAAACCTATATAATTCTATTAACCAATGTCACCCCAATAAATTAAATTTAAAAATAAAATAACAAATTAAATAAATAAATTCTACAGAGTCTGGAGCAGTCTGCCTTGACTGTTAGCACTGTGTGTATTTTTGTGCTGGGTGTGTGCTTTTGGATATAAATAACCAACAAAAGTAAAACATTTCCTACTGTAACAGAAACAAATGAGGACAAATGCTATGGCTATACAAAGCCCAGTCTCATCCTGTTTCATTGATGTGATTCAGGATACAGCCAGATACATCTTTCTAAATTAGAATTCTTCTCATTCAATTCTCAAATACATTCAAGGACTGCTCATCTCTTACAGATTTAACCTGTACTTCTTGGATGGCATTTAAAGTCCTTTATTGGATAGCCCCAGTCTACACACCCCTCCCCTCCCTCTGCTCCATAACTCCCTACCATCCATTCTGTACTCCAGCCCAGTGTTATTGTTTGTTCCTCTAATATAACCCAGGAAGCCAGGATAGTTCCTTAATATGCATGAATCCCCTACTGTGTATGAAGCCTAGGAAGCCTTTGAGAAATTAAAAACTAAGTTGGAAAGCAAAAGAATGCATAACAAACAACAGTAAACATTTTTGATATAATATTTAAACTCTAAATTTTACAAGGTTTAAGTGCTATGGAAAAACCCAGGAGAAGCAAAATCTGGCAGGAGTACAATTGCCAGGGAAGGCATCCTAGAGGAGATGGGACTGGAACTGGACATAGACGCTTAGCATAGGTTTAGCCAAAGGATAGTACTAGTATAGAGGGCATCCAGGTAGGAGGAAGTAGCATGATATCAAGGACAGCACGTGGACTCAGAGGTCACACCTGGGTTTACGACTCAGGATGCCTGCTTTCGTTCTCTTAGACCAGTGGTCGGCAAACCGCGGCTCGCGAGCCACATGCGGCTCTTTGGCCCCTTGAGTGTGGCTCTTCCACAAAATACCGACTTCTGCGCATGGGCCACGAAGTTTCAATTGCACTGTACGTGCGCGCCCGCACGTGGTATTTTATGGAAGAGCCACACTCAAGGGGCCAAAGAGCCACGTGTGGCTTGCCAGCTGCAGTTTGCCGACCACTGTAGACAATTTAAACTCTCTGAGATACAGTTTCTTTTTTGTAAAATGGGAAACATGGAAATGATTGTTCCTATCTCATATGCTATTACAAGGGTTAAATAGGTAACTTAACATGCTGATTCAAGGAGGGTGTCCATACACAGTACATCATTTGTCTTATTCATAAGTGAAGATGCAGAAGTGGGAAAGAGCGTGGTGAATAGACTCATCCGAGCAGAAGGTGCATCTTGGGGGAAGCAGTGGGAGATCCATTTGTACATATTGAGTGAAGCCAAATAATAGGAAATTTTAAAAGCTAGACTAAGAAATTTAGACTGATATGGTAAAAAAAAAAAAAGGGGGGGGGACTTTTGGAGTGATGTGATTAAAATAATGCCTAAGGAAGATTGTTTTTCTCTTTTCCATAACTCCTAGAATCACATCCTACATTATTGCCCAGCGAGGCCATTCTAGCCTTCTGCAATAATCATTCATGTCCTTGAATATAGGAAAACTATTTTTTAATATATTTTTATTGATTTCAGAGAGGAAGGGAGAGGGAAAGAAAGATAGAAATATCAATGATGAGAAAGAATCATTGATCAGCTGCCTCCTGCATGCCGAGCCCGCAACCCTGGCATGTGCCCTTGACCGGAATCGAATCCAGGACCTTTCAGTCCTCAGGCTGATGTTCTACCCACTGAGCCAAACCGGCTAGGGCAGGACAAACTATTTTTTAAATTAAAAATAACTTTATTAAGTACAGATGATAAAATTCAAGTATGAAACTTATGATTTCTGTACCTCTTCATCATAAATAATATGTTCAGAAATATTTTTAAAGATAAAACTGATTTTTAAATATACTGATAGCCTAAAATTTACTAAATTTTAGTGTGTATGATCACATCAAATACTATGTTCCATTTAGCCCTGAAATAGGATTCTCTAGGCTGATAGAGCAATGTCTACTTACAAAATTGTGGGTGAAAATTTCTTATTCGTTAGATACTATGACTGCCTTAGTAGAAAGTAAAATCTTGCTTGCTATCCTCTCAGGTTTGTTTGCATTCTTTGTACTCTGCCTAGTACATATGTTACTAGTAGATTAGTTGATGGGTAATTTGATTTCCTTTATCTTCATTAAAAAATAGCAATTCCTTCTTAATTGTGAATGGAAACATTAAGATATAAGCATTTATTCTCTGGTGGGAAATAGAGGAAATGGAGAAGGGGAAGCACATGTGTTTTAAAACCAACCTACTTGTCAGGCTCAATGAATAACGGCATCATTGATATTGAATCAGCTCGTAAGGCAGCTCTCAAAACTTGGGGGGGCAGAAAGAGCAGGGGGAGGGGGAGAAATGTAAGTGCGTGGATTGAAGGAACAGAAAAAAACAGTGACTCTAAATTTCATGTGGTGTGTAAAACGTTCAGTTCTTAATTATGTTTATGTTATACTATTCATTAAGAGCTATAGCAAGAACTTCTTTCAGGCTTTCTGATTTAGAAATACTTAGTTCTACAATGTGTGTAATGGCATTGCAGTGGGTTGGAGTGATTGAAGGCTGTGGGCTCTTAAGTCAGACTACATGGGTTCAAATTATGGCTTCACCACCTATCTGTGTAAGGTCAGGTGAGTTACTAATCTCAGTTTGCTTCTGTTTCTTCATATGTTAAATAAAGATAATAATAGTTCGGACTTTAGGACTAAATGACCTGTTCAGGTGAAGTTTTTAAGCCAGTACTTGGCACATAGGGAAAACTCACATAGTATTTATCATCTTTATCATTGTCACAATTCAGGAGTAAGGGTAGTAGCATCTTTGGTAAGAAAATACATTGTACTGGTGTTTACAAGACCTGGTTTTGCCACAAGCTATAAACTTTGGGGATCTGTTTCCTCATCTGTGAAAGGAGGAGACATGGCCTAGACCAGTGATTTTCAGTCTTTTTCATCTCATGGCACACATAAACTACTAAAATTCTGTGGCACATCAAAAAATATATGTTTTGCCAATCTGACCAAAAAATAGGTATAATTTTGATTCATTTACACCAGACGGCTATTGTTGTGTTGACTGTTATCATTTTTTT